GAATAGGACCAGTCGCTAGTGAGCATCAGAATAATTTTCAAGTATTGGTTTTTCAGGGAGTCCCAAACTAGGACGAAACAGCCGTCCAGCACTCCCTTCAGGTTTTCCAATGACTCACTATCTGATGTCGGCTCATGATGAAATCCTTCAACCAATATTTTCAGTTTCACTGAGGTCAAAACAACAAACATTTTCATAACTGAAATCACGTTGTTTAGAAACTTCGAGCTTACATCGACCACGCGCAGATAGTAACTTACTGTCCCTATAGTTTAGCTGTGATTTCACAATAAATTCCTCGAATATCAGAATCCACATGTAGGCATGCATACAACTCAGGCAACGATAAGGCACTTATATATAATACGTAAGCACTTCTGATTTAACATACTTTTAATGTTGAGATTAAATAAAGTTCGTAGAGTAGGATATGATGTTGATATTGTGATACCGAGTGAATAAGTATATCAAAATGTGGCGTGGAATATTCATGCACCAGTCTTCAGAAATTAGCAAAAGTATCATGATAATTATTTTAATGCGTCCTGACTGAAAGCTGTTACCTTGACGTGGTGGTCGGGCTTGAACACCGCAATGACCTAATCAAGCTATACTGGCTGAGACTTATGTCTCTTGAGGTTCTACCATGCCAGGCAGGTTGTTTGGATAGCGGTTAAACAAAAAGCAGCTACCCAATCCAACATCATGTCCAATACAAAATTACAAAATTTCATGCCGGATCGGCCGTGGCCCGGATTAACAACGACCGCGCTTCCTGCTGCCGTGTCACAGGGCGGGAGTGATAAATATGCTACTGAGACACACCAAACAAAAAGAACAAAAAAACAGGCCGCGTGTGACCGGCCTCAAGCAGTTGTCCCCTGGGCTCTGCGGTCACGCAACCAACTTCCACGGTGTGGGCAGCCGGGAAGTAACAATCGCCCTCACAATCCGAAATGCGCACGAAACCTCTCTAATTCTCACTCATCTTTGTCTTCATCTTCATCTCTATCATCTTGCCTTCCTTCCACTGATGCAACTCCTCGACTTGATGGCTCCTCACTTCCTCTTCACTCTGTGTCCACTAAAAACGACGGAAGCCAAAAAACCACCACCGACAGCCTCTTAAAGCCACGCCACCAATTTCATATAGGAGCATTTAATGTTAGGACACTTTGCCAAATAGGACAACAAGCATCACTAGCTAAGACCCTGGCATCTCGAGCCATTGATGTATGCTGTGTTTCAGAAACACGCATACAAGACCCAAGTGTGGTTATTCACCTAACCCCACCTGGCCAACAGGTTGAATCTGCAAAATTCACCTTGAGGGTGTCAGGAGATGCCACAGCTAGTTCACGAGGATTAGCTGGCGTAGGGATAGCTTTGAGTACTAGGGCAGAAAAGACATTGCTTGACTGGATCCCGGTAGATAGCCGAATGTGTGCTGTCCGTCTGAACGGATCAGTAAGAAGGAGAAAGGACTGCACTACTCGCCGATGCCTTTTCGTAATCTCCGCCTACGCCCCCACTGACTGCAGTTCAGATGAAACGAAGGATGAGTTCTACCAAAAGCTGTCTAGTTTGGTGAGAAAGGCTAAACGCTCAGATATAGTCGTTCTAGCTGGTGACTTTAACGCTCAAGTAGGGAAATTGTGTCAATCTGAGAAGGATGTCGGTGGCACCTATGGAGTTCCGTGCCAGCGAACCGACAACGGTGACCGTCTCCTACAGTTCTGTTCTGATAATCATTTGTTTCTTGTAAGCACTAACTTTAAACACAAGGAGAGACACTGTTTGACCTGGCGACCCCCATCATCAAACCAACGCTGGACACAAATAGACCACATAGCAATAAGCTATCGTTGGCGTGGGTCGGTAGGAGATTGTCGCTCCTTCTGGAACACGTGTGTAGATACCGATCACGCACTGGTCCGCGCTCGGGTGTGCTTACGACTGAACGGACGTAGGAAACAGCTGGCGGTAAAACCATCACGTCCCCAGCTCGATCAGGAAACTAAATCCCTATTTGAGGAAGAACTAGCTAAACGCATATCTGAATTCGACAGCTGTGCTCACCCTGAAGAAGCCTGGAAGAATATTCAGGCAGCCATAGATACAGCTGTAAAAGCTGTGAATAAGGTAAATCCAAAGGTGAGTAAAAACCACTGGATCTCGACCGCCTCATCCGAACTGATAGATGCTAGAAGACTTATTCCGGCGAGCTCCGAATTCAATGAGGAGCGAAAGCTGCACAAAAGGAAACTTACGAAAAGTCTCCGCAAGGACCGTGAACAGTGGTGGCTGACAAAGGCGAAAGAGATGGAAAAAGCATCGGCGATAGGCAACACTAGGCAACTCTTTAGACTCATCAGGGAAACGGGTGGGAGAAGGCAAATCATAAGTGAGACTATTTCTGAGAAAAATGGCTCCTTAATTAGCTCTCAGGATAGACGCCTTGAACGCTGGAAAGAACACTTTGAGGAACAATTTAACTTGCCTACAGCCACACTGCGTCGGTGGTATAGCGGTTAGGACGCTCACCGACCATGCAAATGGTCCGGGGTTCGATTCCCGGCCGACGCACTCCTTTACCTCGCTGAGCCAGAAATAATGCTGTTAGAGAGGAAAGGTTGGGCATGAGGCTAGCAACCCCATCCTGTAAAATAAACACTTCTACAGAAACTTCAAGCCACTAGCTTGAAGCCCTATGTTCCACTGGGGAACATGAAGGAAAAAAACAGCCACACTGAACCTCCGCAACATCCAGCACACACCCGAATGGGATATAGACACTGGTCCGTCGTCTGTAAGTGAGGTCAGAAAAGCTATCTGTAATTTGAAATGAGGCAAAGCGGCAGGACCCGACGGGATTATTCCGGAGGTGTGTAAATATGGGGGTGACATGCTAGTTTGTAGATTAACTGAGGTACTAGGCAAAGTCTGAGAATAACTCCATTATGGATAAGATTTTATTTTGATTAATCACACACAGTGTTGTACAGTTATATTAACTGATGACGTTTCGAGCACAAACTATTGCTCATAATCATATCAAGTTACTCACACAACTTTGTTCTTTCATTTATATACATGTGTAAAATCAATTAGATATTGGATTAAAATCAATGTGAGATAATGTATATTCAGAAATAATAGTACGAGTGTTGTTGATCAATTGCAGTTAGATGGGAAAAAAGGACGAGCGTGTTTTACAGTCATAATAAGCTACTTGTTAGAATGTTGTGGTTGAATGTGTTTGAATTGAAATAGAATTTTAAGATTATTTATTATCCTCTTCTGATTTGACCTGCGGTAATAATATCTTCCATATCTCTGGTATTTGCATTGAGTCATTTCTGTTGCATGTGTTGGGTGTGGACTCGATAAATAAGGATTCTGTGAACAACCTCTCTTTCCACCTACCTAAATTACTTTTTAGAATTTTAACCCTATCCCCCCCTATTGTGTAGTTGTTTGTTATTGCGTGAAGTACAATAGCTGAGCTTTTTTCTAAATTACTTATCTTTTCAGGGTCAACCATTCTTACCTTAGCTAAATTCTTATGTTCTGATAATCTGATTATCCCTGACCTACTAGTTTGACCTAAGTAGTTGACCTCACAATCATTGCAGGGTATTTTGTAAATTATATTATTTTGTTTAATTGGATCCAACTGGTCTTTTAGTCTACAGAGCTTGTAGGTTTGAAGGCCACCCTAATTCCTGCTTTATTAAGAATCCTACGTAGGGCCTCAGATGTCCCTTCCTTATATGGTATAACAGTGGATGATTTATATTCTTTCTTATTTGTGTTATCATTAATAGTTTCACGATTATTTTTATTTTGCTTTTTGTCTTTACTGATCTTCCTAATGAATTTTATAGGATAGTTATTCAACACCAACGCTTCTTCTATCTGCTTTATTTCGTCATTTAGGTCTTTTCTTGTGCTACTTAGTGCTATGGCTTGGTTTGTTAGACACTTAACTAAGCCTGCCTTAACAGTTAACGGATGAGACGAAATAAAGTCTAAATATCTATTAGAATGCGTTGGTTTTCTATAAACACTAGTGTGTAGTTTGCCTTCTTCTATTCTTTTTATTTTACAATCTAACACAGCTAATTCGCCTAGTTCATTTTCTGATTCCAATGTGAATTTTATTCCCTCTACTTGTGAGTTTATATGTGTCAGGAAGCTAGAGATATGTTCTGTTTTTAACACCGTGAAAGTGTCATCCACATATCTACGCCATATTTTTGGAGTAGGGTTAAACGTATTAAGAGCACTGCTTTCCCAGCTGTCCACAAATATGTCTGCTACGATAGGGGATATTGGTGATCCCATTGCTACACCTTCTGTCTGAGAATCAGAGACGATTCCATCAGACTGGAGTAAGTCACTTATTATACCGATATTCAAGAAGGGAAATAAGTCCTCGTGTGATAATCATAGGGGGATCAGCCTAACGAACATAGTTTCTAAAATCCTAGGCTCAGTAATCATGCATAGACTAAGCAGAACTCGGGAGGAACAAACGGGGAAAAATCAAGCAGGCTTTAGACCAGGTAGAGGGTGCATAGATCATATCTTCACTCTCCGATAGATCCTAGAACATAGACACACTTTTTGGCGTCCAACAATTGCTATATTTCTTCTTCGACTCCGTGGATCGAAAGGAATCAATGGCTGAAAACAATAGGTGAAATGGCTCAAAATCGTTGTCATTGGCGCAGATGTATTCAGTCTCTGTAATCTTTCATATTTCTTTCTAACATTACCATCCTGTTTCTCTCTTATACCTGTCAAACTCTATTGATTCCCTTCACTCATCTTCTTGCCTACCTTTGTGTGCTATTTGGAACGTGGCAACTCGAACTGCTGCACTTCGGTTCCAAGTTCTATGTTGAATCCAGACAGACAGACAGACTTTAATGCGTAAAATCATGAACCAGAGGAGAATTATTATTATTATTAAATAAATTCAAATATTCACTCACCTGTCCATGGTAGGTATACTGACCAACTGCTTACTGGACGTCTTGGTTGAACTAGTTGTTATCCATTCGCCATTAGGAATACAAATTCCAGTAGAAATAAACAAGTTTTTATATAAGAAAAAAAAAGAATACTGGTCAGTTAGCTAAGTTATGTACACATAGTTATTAAGCAAATGGTTAGGCTAAAAGTGAAATTCAATATTCAAGATTTATTTGAACAATTAAAACGTTACGCATGTTATAGTGTTTCTCACTTTATTATTCATTTGCACTGATGGCTTATTTATGGCTTATGACTATTAGTTATTATCGAACGAAGTCTTATCTTTCCATTTGTTAATTTTTGGTGTTGAGAGGCTGAATATGTATTGGTTTAAAGCTATTTTAATGCAAGTTTAAACACTATCTGAAGTCAAACACTAACCAGGCCCAAAAAATCTTTTTGAATACACTCCTAAAAGATTTCCATGATTTAGACGAATCGTCTTCGGTAATTTTAGGAAGGACGAATAAGACATTATTATCTTCACCAATACTGTAGTCCACAGACTGATTTGTTTCTTCAAGGCTTTCAAGTAAGTAACAATTTAAATAAGAAAACTACTGACTAAATGGCCATGAACAAAATATGAATAACAATAATAATAATAATAATAATATTGATATGAGTAAACTACAGGTTATGGTGCCTTAGTTTTCTGTATACATGGAATTATTTTTTATGAAAAAGGGATGTCAGCCAAGTGTTTCCACAGTCAAGTTAAACATACTGACAGACTCTTAACCAAAGTGTTAGTATTATGCATTAAAAATTAGTAAGTATTTCAAAGATGAGTACTAGACTTTGTGATTTTCGCTTCCTGAAATCATTTAAATTTCATCTATTGGAAAATACAAGAGTCTTGCTGAATTGCAAAAATACTTTGAGAAGATACGATAACCCCTCAGGATTTAGTCAGATATAAATGAAGAAATTCGACCAATTTTTTTGGTAATTAATACATACAATGAAGATGACACCAAGGAAATACTGGCTAAGTTAGACTTTAAGCACAAGTTAGTACCAGTGGAGTTCACCGTACCAATGACCTTGAAATGCTCACTGAATAGGTCAGGGAAACCTGACAAATAATGTTGTAATCATGAATAAAATATGCTTATTGAAGTGCTGTATTATTAAATGGGACAACTGGTGAGTTTCAAGTTAGATTTGGGAAAGATTAAGTTAAGGTTTAAGCTAAAGAGAGGTTAGGGTTAGGTTAAAATAACAAGGGAGACATTATGGTTGCTTTGAGTTGGAACAGGGTTAGTCTAGGGATATTTTCACATTAGGGTTATGTTAAGGAAAAATTAGGGGGAATTGTTAAGATTAAAACACCTGGATAATTCCATGCACAGAATATGATTAAATTACTCTGTCGGTACTCTAATCCAAAACTAATAGGCATTTTTGTTTCACGTCATAGAAAGGTACCCTGCATAACAGTTTCATTCCTTTTGATTCATTATTTTTATGAATACATATGTATTTTATGCGCAGAAATCTCCTTGGTCATGCGGTCGATGCATTCATTGTCATTTATCAGTTGGTACTTACTGATGCTTAAAGTTTAAATTTGCCGAAATACTTTAGGATAAACCGTGAGTAAATCGTCACATAAATCTTTCAAAGTTGTCATGTAACTTGTATTACTGACAATATTTATAAGTACTATATACAGATACAGATATAAATGTGTATATCATCTGCAAGAATATCGAATAGCGGAGAGATAAATTTTATGGCGAAGAGAAGTAATGAATGGTGCTTGTGAAACAACATAGAAAACACAGAAGAAAGACAAGGAAGCACAAGACGGAATACAAAATAGCACAATAAGAAAGGTACGTGTAAATTGTGATTATACTCTATGGTAGATTTATTTAATTTATAGTTGTATACTGAGCTACCTACAAATAATTCTGCTGCCAAATACCCTTGTTTTGTGTCATTACACACACACTTTCTCAGACTCTTAGGTGTTTTCCTTTGTTATCATTCATTTCTCCATAGAATTCTTCACATCTACAACAACATGTAATCTAAACTATCTGCTAAGAGAATTTGTTTTAAGTTCGACCATGGATTGATATCAGTAAGAGAACCAATTAAAACCAAGGAGCCCTGGACAGATGTTTTGTTGAAATTTAAGACACATTGGTGGTAGGTAAGTAAGGGCGAATATTTGCCAATGACAATGGCTGGATGTCGCGTTAAAATCAAGAATCGGTAGAAGCTGGAATTCATGGGCTAGCCAATGAATCGAGTGTCATTGTCTGAATGGTCTACGAGCGTTCCTTATAACCGGAAGGCACTATGTTCAAATCCCGTTGGTGGATGCGTACTGCCGATGAGTCCCAAACTAGGACGAAGCACCTGTCCAATACTCCCTGAATTTTCCGCGGTTCTCCCAATGATATCAATCCGTAGGCAAAAGTGAAAAAGCACACCCCCACACATACTAACATTCTTGAAAACCTTTTGTATTGACAGAGACAAATGTATATGAATAGCAGGAAACGTATTCGTTGCATACTTATTCGCTAACAACTTATTTTTTTCAAAACAGAGGAGAAAATCACACTTCACCTAATGTTTATATCTCACACATTAAACACCAAAACCAGGTATGCCTATCTTTTTGTACAAGCACTTTTTCTGTGAATGTGAATCGTCAAAAGTACTGGAGCGAGTGAATAATTACCATCTACCTATGTCGAATTGAAGTATTCATTATCAAGGCGTAGTGAAATTCCCTTTACGCAAGCAAAGCCTACAAATGATTATTTAACCATAGTACTTTTTCTAAATAAAGATATCGGATCTTTTAGAATGCTTTGTCTTTTCATCGTTGGAATTGTTGTTGCCATAATCTATTATGCTTCCTTTTCTATTATTCAAACTGATCTTTTTAATTCCCGAATATATTAACTTCGCATACTTTATGTAGTCAAAAAATATTCCCTTCACATAATAATTATTAATTATATATGCTAGTATATTTTTCTTAAACAGTACATTTATCATTAGAATATATCTCTGAAGTGAACAAAAGTAGTTTGACGTCGCCTACTTTAAAACCTTATATTGATTGACGTAATTCCTATATCTAATGATCAACGAGGGACGGTTATTTTTCTCTTGCGTAATTCCCCAGCAGCGTTTACGCGTAAATATATGTATACATTGCACGTCAGGTCTAACATTGTGACTTTTCGCGAGGTTGTCTTCTATTAAATTTTATTCCTTTGCATTCCGAGTGGAACATAGGGCTTCCAGCTTCAGCTTTGAAATTGCAATAGAAGTAATTGCAATTCAACGGCGATAAACCAACTGAGATAATTACGAAAAAATTAAGAAACTCAGTTCAAAAAACTTTTAATGCTGGCGAACTACACGTATCATTCTCTCTCTACACGGCCGATGGTGCTACCTCGACTGAAAAATGAAGTGTACCTAGACTAGCTAGCCACTTCCAATTGTATCTACCAAATCAACTGCGCTGATGATGGAGCGAATTATATCGGTCGTTGCTCTACTAAATTGATTTTTCGTGCTCAAGAACATCTCCCACTATCGCTAAGTAAAGGTGTAGGTAAAACCATTAACTATTCGATATTAGACCATTTGGTGCAAACCGGCCACAAAGCCAGCCAGCGTGGAAGAATCCTTCTCTATATTCTACCGGGTGCCAAATAAATCCCCAAAATCATCGAAGCACCGCATGCTCCAAACACCAGAGGCTATCGCAATTCGCCTCAAACAACCAGTGCTCTATGTTCAAAAGAAGCAAGTCTAGCCCCAACTACTGCCTTGGCCAGCGTTCAGTAGACACTATAAATTCATGAATTTGTAATATTACCTTTCCTAATTGTTTCTTACATTCAGCTTATTTTATTTTGATACTATTGAACTATAATTCATTGATATTATGGATTCAATGTTATTTAAACAACATGAATGTTGTTCATAACACTAATTCATTCATTCACTATAATGTATGTATAACTGTAGAGCCTGAAGATGAAGTTATCAAAAAGAGTATTCTTTGTTCACTATCCATTTTTTCGCCAATTAGAAGACTTGCTACGGAACTACGACGAAATCCTAAGGGCTACTTGTACACTTATACAAATTTCCAACAGTGGAGACTGATGATAACAACTAACCTACAAAATCTCCGTGTCTGCCGGGTGGGTTTCGAACCCACTGAATGACCACAGATCCATTAATTTTGGTTAAAGAAACGTCTTACTTTAAACGAATGTCTACTGTGGTTTTGACTTCCCACTCTACACTTTTTCAAAATTCAATCGAAGTTAACTGTTTGTTAAAATGTTAAATGTAGGAGAATCAAATCAAAAGCTGCCACACTAGCTTTGATGTTAGTCTGTCATTGTGTCGAAAAACTCCTATAATTTGAAACTTCAAATTATTATACTAAGACATAACTACTGTTCTTCATGTGTTATCGTGTTTATGTAGTTGTCAGATTTCAACAGCTCTAATACCTTGTTATTAACTTGATATTTTTTACAGTTTGGTGGAGTAATGTCAGCATACGCATTAGTAATAATGATAGTTAACATGGTAACAGTGTCCTGAATAATAACATTAATGGGCATTTCTAATCAGTTAGAGGTGATTCCATTTTTACTGGATGAGTTTGCTAATCTCATAACCAACACCTCCTATTTATCGGGCTTAATACCAGTTTGATTGTATGGATGGTTTCATCATGAGCTGTCATTGGTTAGAGAACCATTGGAAAACCTGGGAGTACTGGACAGCTGTTTCGTTCTCGCTTGGGACTCTTCGTCAGCACGCACTCACCACCGGGATTCGAACACAGGACCCTCTTGTCACAAGGCTAGCGAGCTCGTAAACCGTTGAGCCACTGGAACCTGATTCAATAGTCCTTGAATTATAACTTTTGCCAATTCACGACATAGCGCGACCATACCAGCTTAGCAAGGTTAAGAAATGAGCGTCAGTCTGTAGTCGAACTCTGGACCACGTGCGTGATTGGTTGGTATTCTATTGCTAAGCCACTGACGCATATGAAACTGTTAATACAGTGATAATTGGAAGGCATTATCCAATAATCCTACAGTTATATCCTAAACTCACATTAAGCATTGATCCAACAACATTCAAAAACATTTTAAATATGTGTGATAAGCAATAAAGCTTTTTTTCACAAAAGTTGACATATACATTTCTATCTTTCCCCTTAGTGCTTAGACCACCGGAATTGAATAATCTACTGTCAGTACAAACTCAATAAATATCTATTTATTTATTTATAATACATTTCTTTTAATGAATCACCGTTGGGTTGTTGCTTTTTCTCGTTAACCGCGTACAATGTTAGCCGAAATGGACAGTAATTTTCAAATGATAAGGAATGTGATATATATATATATATATATATATATATATATATAGCTGTCCGAAATTCTGATTAGAATATGAGTGTGTGTGTGTGTGTGTGTGGTTCTTCTTGTATATCTGAAAACAACAACTAAGATCAGCTAACGTTAACAGCTTAAGAATAAATCATGATTAGTAACAAGATAAGTTGACTTCACGTTTCCTCATACGTTATTTCTTGTTAGCTACGGAAAATCCATAAAATCTTCAGTTTATATACAAAGTTTTCGAAAGCTCCCAGTTACTAAGCTCTATTCTTCTACGATAAAAATGTACTTCAATTTTGATTGGACACTAGAAACTAGTGTGATGTGTCTAGTCTCTTCTTTGGTGCAAACTGAATTCTCTGAGTCAGGTTTATAATGTGGCCACCACTAGTTACTAGTGTCCAATCAAAATACCCACTACAGTCCTACAGGAGGTCAATCACGGGCCCGAATAACTCAGTGATAACGTCTCTGACTGCAGTACTGGGTGACGCGGGTTCGAATCTCAGAAGGGACATGAGTTCCTTCAAGGTTGCAGATACGCCTTGCTGACTGGTGAGTGCCAACTAGCACGAAAACTAGGTCCAAGGCTTCCTGTGGCCGATTGCCTCCAACCATCTAATATCATCAAATGTACCTCGATTTTTCGAACGTCATAAATCACGAATAACTAAAAAGTCATGAAGATTTCAGGTTTGCTCACTGACTGATATTGGTTAGAGAAACATTCTAAAATCAGGGAGTACTGATTCTAGTAGGGGACTCTTCAGCAATATGCACCCATTTGGGTTCTAATCCAGGACCTTCCAGTTTCGAGGAGAGCTCATATGTCCCAAACTGAGACGAAATGAATGTCTAGTACTCCTTGGTTTTCCAAAGGTTCTTTAACTAATCAAACCCATGCAAATTAACACTTCAGAAATAAGGATTTCAGTACTTTAGCTAAATACAATGCAACTAAATCATACAATAAATTTTCTTTCCCAACTGAAATACACAAATAAGGATAACAATATATACACATTTGTTTGTTGAAGATATTAAATATTCAATGCATTTAACTTAATAGACTCAAGGGAATAACCAGAAGTTATCTTCATTGTACACTATATTAATTAAACTCATAGTTAAAAACAAGAAGGAAAAACAAGGATGCCCATTATTCTCATTTCTATTCAATTTCATAATAGATGCACTGATGGACCTAACCCTAACTCACTTCAGAGACATAGGGATTGACTTGCTAACAGGGAATAATAGTCTAGTTGACTTAGAATATGTAGATGATACAGTCCTTCTAGGTGAAGACGCTGACAAATTTCAGAGTTTTCTTAACACCTTGAGCTGCAATCTACGAATGTTTGGCATGCGATTCGCTCCCGCCAAATGTAAGATGATGTTACAAGACCGGACTACACTGACTCCTAGATTAGAAATAGGGAGTAAAGTGGTAGAGCACGTTGATCGCTTCACTTATTTCGGAAGTTGCATCAGCCATTGCCAACAGGTTGGTCGCTGACGAAATCTCAGCAAGGATGCAGAGGGATAGTTTCGCATCTGCCAGTTTACGCCGTCTCTGGAGTAGACGTGATATTCGACTGGCTGTCGACCAAAGGGCGGGTGTACTGATCATCAGTCCGCTCCGTCCTCCTTTATGGCTGTGAGACATAGCCATTGAGAGTGGAAGATATGAAAAGGCTAGTTGTTTTTTTATCATAGGTGCTTGCGTTCTATCTCCCGTGTGAAGTGGTATAGTAGGGTAAGCAACACTGAGGTTAGGCTTATGTCGAGTGCTAGGTAAGGAGGGTAAGTCAATAGACAAGACTGTGTAGCTACATCGACTGAGATGGTTAAAACATGTATTACGTATGCCTAGTCATCGCCTTCCTCGATAATGGGCAATGTTAGCTGACATAGTGTTAGGCTGGAAAAGAGCTAGCGGCGGTCAAACCAAAATATGACACCAGTCAATGAAATCCACAACAGTTAGTTTAAACCAGCGACGTAGGAAGGTGTAGACTTCCTGATTGGGGTCCTCGGGATGATAAAATCCAATGGCTGGAAACTATTGGTGATATGGCTCAAAATCGTTCTCAATGGAGGGCGCAGATGCATCCACTCCTTGTGACTAATACTTTCCAATGAAACTATATTGTTCTTCGTTACTTCTATTTCTTTGTCTCACACCTCTTTACTGTCTCTAATATGCATTTCTTCTACTTTCTTCTGTTGGTTTGTGTGCTACAAGGAGGGATTGTGGCGACTTGAACTGCCGCACATTGGTGCAAAGTTCTATGTTGAAAACAGACAGACAGAAGCAAAAACTGTAAAGAAATAAATTCAAACAGCTCTGTGTGTGTCCCAATTTAACTTGCTTTCAAAAACAACAAGTTCACACTAGGAGATCATTAATGCTATTAAGTGAGACAAGCACACAAAAAAAGTACACATTGTGCATCAAGAGCTAACAACCACTAAACTAATTGATGTGATTAGCATTCAACTACTCTTATTAACCAGTAGTGTAGAACTGCTGCCTAGAACATTATGCAGTCGGAGAACTTGGTCATTAAATCTTCATACTGATCAAAGCATAAGAGTTCACCTTAAAAAAAAAGGTATGGACAAATATTTAACACAACATACCATATGTATAATTACGAACAGGTGGACAACCAATTTCATCTGTTCCCCCATCGAAACAACCATCGGCTTGATCACAACGCATTTGACCATATACACAGACAGCTGTTTGATTTCCACACCAAAATCCGGAGCCTACTTCACATCTACGCATTTCTAAAGATGAAAAAGCCAAAAAAAAAAAAGAAAAACAGCAGATTTTATTAAAGCAATAAAAAAAAAATTTGTCCGGCATGTTATCATGTGTTATTACGGGGGAAAGTGTTTCTTCGGTGATTATTATGTTCATGCTTTCAGTCGATATCCTGTACTGACACATTTCTCTACTAGGACAAGTAAATATATTGAGTAAATCTTTTGATTATTCCCTTGCCAATCACCAGTCGACCTAAGCAGAAGAGCATTTGTCATTTTACTTTTAAATTCGAACAGTATTTATAATATAATGGAATGAATATATATATAGTAATGTATTCATTTATTTTGGTTTTGAATTCACATTCAGAACTGTAAACCAACACTAGTCAATTGTTAAAAGTATTTGACCACTTCGGAAGAATGTTAGACAGTTTGTTTGTTTGTATGTATTAATGAATGTTTTCAAACATGTATGAATAAAATAAAACATTATTCAATTTTTCCAGTACCCTTTTGTGTCTGTCATCACAAAATCAATGAATTCACTAAAAGAAGAAGAACAAGAAAAAATAGTCATTTTGACCACGATATTTAGTTAAAGCTATCTATTTGACTCTCACTTAGAGTAAAATGGTTAGCAAAATATTTCTCACAAGAAGTAATACTATATCCCAGTGTTTGTTATGTTTAGAAAACCCCAACAATACAGGGGAACGGTGTAATATGTAAGGAAGGTATGTATGTTAACCCAATTATTGCAGGTATATGGATGATACCTTTATTCTTTGTGATAATGATTCGGATAGGAGTATAATAATTATTGAATTCAATGAAGTACATTCGGCTATGAAATTCACGTGCGAAGAGGAATCTAGAAACACAATTAAATAATAATAATAATAAATAATAAACCTTGACACTTCAAACTGCGTATATCAATTTGAGGGTGTTTGTGCAAGCAAATACATAGGTCGTACGGAAAGGCGATTGTCTACTCGCATGATAGAGCATTTGCCAAAATGGTTGAAAACATCTGAGTGCAAAGTGCCAAAATCCTCAATAACATAACATCTTGTGGATTACGGACATGATATCGACTCGGTCAAGTCATTCACCATTGTCAGCAGACAAAGAAACAAGAAGATGCTTGCCGTTGCAAAGGCTTGTGAAAATCGAATTTATAAACCAGGTCTCTGTGTACAAAAAGAGATGGTCGTAACTCTGAACCTACCATGGTAATATGTTTTGCTTATCATTCTACCTCTTATTATTATCATTATTATTATTATTCTTAATTCATTTAAAAATATGCTTTATCAGTAAGATTCTCAAGGAAGTGGAGGCGCAGCCTACTGGACACAAAAGTAAGAAGAGGAGCAGACGTTGGCTTAGACCTCTATCTCGTACAAGGGACAATCCAAGTCAAATTAAAAGCTTTCAGGGAAACAGGAGCTGCAGATAGACCACAAGCCAAGTTCAACACCCAAAAACTGACGGGGTTACCAAACCAAGAATCGGAAAAGCAAGAGAAGCTTTCATTACTCTCAAATCTGTGTGGAGGTCAACAGCACTCAGCATCAAAAATAAAATCCGAATTTTCAACTCCAATGTGAAGTCAGTGCTACTATACGGATCAGAGACTTGGCGCGTCATAAAGAGCATCTCAAAAAAACTACAGACCTTCATTAACAGTTGTCTTCGCTCAATGCCAATCAAGATCAGATGACCGGCCAGAAAAGATCAGCAATAGTGAGGGGTCTCTGGGAGCGAACCAACCAGGAACCGATTGTGAAACAAATAGGCATGCAGGAAGAAATGGAGATGGATTGGCCATACACTGAGGAAACCATCAAGTGACATCACTAGACAAGCCATTGCTCGAGTGGAACCCGAAAGGGAAGCGGCGAGTTGGTCGTCAGTGCAAGGGTGACTTGGAGGAGGTCATGTGAAGAGGAGATGAGAGCATGTGGGCAGACTTGCCGTGGGGAGAAAAAGTTGGCAGAAAACCGAAGGCAATGGAGACGCGCAGCTGAAGCCTTGTGTTCCTCTAGGAATTAAAGGGTATAATAATAATAATAATCAATACTGTTATTATTGTAACTATTACTATTGATATTAGTCTGTTTGCAATTCTCGTTATATTCCCTAATGACTAATTGTTTATCTAAGTGATGTAATTGAGGCGCAATGCAATTTATCTTAATTTTGATCTCTCATACTCTCTCTCCCCCTATCTATTTGGACATGACCTGGAAAACATTCGCACCTGTCTTTTTGCATGACTAATTCAATGTACTTTGTTTACTTATCAGTCTTATATCTCCCAATGTAATTTCAAAAGTATATATATCCGTGTATGTAGAGTATTCAGCTGACGAGTCCTACCGAAATTTGATGAATTCATTAAATCCTGCTTCATTAACCTTAATTGTTTGTTTTAGAAACAGAATTGCCTTCCTGGATGTACCCCTTTCAAGAAAACCAGATGGTAGCATAAGAAGAAATTTGTATAAAAAAAGTACTTGGATGGGACAATATACACAATTTCACCGCTTCGTTCCTATCAAGTACAAAAGAAATTTAGTAAAGACCCTCAGCCACAGAGTTAGAGCTATATGCTCAGAAGAAGTAACTGAAGATGAATTAAACATTCTGTTTTTGATACCTTGATCGAAAATCGCTATCCCGACAAATTTATCAAGAAACACATGACAAAGAAAAAGGCATAGGACTACTCACTATCTGTTAAACAAGAAGCCTCTTTATATACGACCACAATTCAATAGCGATATACCAACTGAGATAATTACGAAAAAATTAAGAAACTCAGTTCAAAAAACTTTTAATGCTGGCGAACTACACGTATCATTCTCTCTCTACACGGCCGATGGTGCTACCTCGACTGAAAAATGAAGTGTACCTAGACTAGCTAGCCACTTCCAATTGTATCTACCAAATCAACTGCGCTGATGATGGAGCGAATTATATCGGTCGTTGCTCTACTAAATTGATTTTTCGTGCTCAAGAACATCTCCCACTATCGCTAAGTAAAGGTGTAGGTAAAACCATTAACTATTCGATATTAGACCATTTGGTGCAAACCGGCCACAAAGCCAGCCAGCGTGGAAGAATCCTTCTCTATATTCTACCGGGTGCCAAATAAATCCCCAAAATCATCGAAGCACCGCATGCTCCAAACACCAGAGGCTATTGCAATTCGCCTCAAACAACCAGTGCTCTATGTTCAAAAGAAGCAAGTCAAGCCCCAACTACTGCCTTGGCCAGCGTTCAGTAGACACTATAAATTCATGAATTTGTAATATTACCTTTCCTAATTGTTTCTTACATTCAGCTTATTTTATTTTGATACTATTGAACCATAATTCATTGATATTATGGATTCAATGTTATTTAAACAACATGAATGTTGTTCATAACACTAATTCATTCATTCACTATAATGTATGTATAACTGTAGAGCCTGAAGATGAAGTTATCAAAAAGAGTATTCTTTGTTCACTATCCATTTTTTCGCCAATTAGAAGACTTGCTACGGAACTACGACGAAATCCTAAGGGCTACTTGTACACTTATACAAATTTCCAACAGTGGAGACTGATGATAACAACTAACCTACAAAATCTCCGTGTCTGCCGGGTGGGTTTCGAACCCACTGAATGACCACAGATCCATTAATTTTGGTTAAAGAAACGTCTTACTTTAAACGAATGTCTACTGTGGTTTTGACTTCCCACTCTACACTTTTTCAAAATTCAATCGAAGTTAACTGTTTGTTAAAATGTTAAATGTAGGAGAATCAAATCAAAAGCTGCCACACTAGCTTTGATGTTAGTCTGTCATTGTGTCGAAAAACTCCTATAATTTGAAACTTCAAATTATTATACTAAGACATAACTACTGTTCTTCATGTGTTATCGTGTTTATGTAGTTGTCAGATTTCAACAGCTCTAATACCTTGTTATTAACTTGATATTTTTTACAGTTTGGTGGAGTAATGTCAGCATACGCATTAGTAATAATGATAGTTAACATGGTAACAGTGTCCTGAATAATAACAATCAATCATTTATGAAGTTTTCGTAATTCTCAGATATGAATACAGTGTGTAAATGTTTAGAGAAGAAAGTCACAGTATTCAGAAAAAGTATGTTACGAATATCATATAACCATATGGTCTTGTTTAGTGCTGTGCTTCTTAAAAATGCCTCACTATAGGCTTACAAGACACACATTTCGAAGATTTCTAGGTCAGATAGGTGTATTTTATTTGGTTGTGTTGTCTGACCTGGTTGATTTAAATTGTGAATAACGGGTGTAATAAAAATCCGTGGTCAAACTCGTAAAAACAAATCTAGTGCTTACAAACCAACTCTTTAAAATTAATCTGATGGTTGCTAGTGACTTGTTCCAGGACAGAATTTCCTGGAGTTCTAGTGAGGTCCGTCCAATCAAGTGTGAGGATGGATGTCCCACCGATGACATTAGTTGGTGGTCGCGCTAAGGCACGAATTGGTAGAAATTAGAATTCATTGACTGGCCATTCGATCGAGTCCCAGTGGCTGAATAGTATACGAGCTAGTTTGCCTTGTAACTGGAAGGTCCTGGGTTTGAACCTCAGTGGATGAGTACTGACGATGATTCTCAAACTAGGATGAGACAGCTGTCCAGTACTCTAATGCTGGTTTTCAATGGTTCTCTAACTGACATCAATCCGTGGCCGAACTCGTGAAAACAAACCTAATCTTTACCACCCAACTCTTGAAAATAATAATAATGGAAAGAAGTTTTACAAATTCCACACACACTTGCGTGTAGAAAGAAACTCATGTTTTGTTAATGGTACTTATAGTTTAAAAAGTATTTCAAGATTACCAATAATAGAAATGCATTTACCAGACCCCATCTGTCTATTGAAACCCAATCACAACTAAGTATATGACATAATTAGTGTCAGTGCTGGTGAACACTGAATCGTTTCTGTGTTCCAACTGATCTCCACATTGGCGGCAGACCAGAAGCCTATCAGAGATATTGTTGTACCTTACATGAGTGTTTATCTAAAGAATTTAGCACTGAGTAACAATCGTAAATCTGTTTCGTTATCGGCTGAAGAATAAACAATTGTTGTTCTGCGTCAGTTACCGTGCATAATAATATAGTTTTAGTTTAGTTTACTGAAGCCAGCGATAGCTTCAGGATCTTTGCGCTCTGGATATTTGACAATTAGTTTTACAAAGTGGGCTAACAACTAAGCTATTTACGAAAATATGATGTAATCATTTCTTCTTCCATAATTCACCCTCATTTAATAGTTGTGTTTTTCAACAACAAATACCTAATGAAGTCTTCATGACACCACTACTCCACTTGACTGTAACAAAACACTCCTGTAGAAAATCTAAACTCTATATCATTTAGTTGAACGAATGAGTTGCTCTTGTTTGAATATTGAGGCCACAGAGGTAGTTTTATTAAGTCATTTTGAGACATTTTTTTACTAAATCAACATTATATTACGCGACATTTTAAAAATTTCAATCCATAGTTGTTAAATTGCAGAATTCCACCCGGAACAAGCTGGATTCAGGAAAGGCAAATCATGTGTTGATCAAACTGTAGCTCTACGCATCATCACAGAACAAAGCATAGAATGGCACTCAAACCTCTACCTCAACTTCATCGACTTCGAAAAGGCCTTCGACAGACAGCGTTGACTGAGATATAATTTGGAAACTACTTCAACACTACGGTGTGCAGTATTCAGGTTTTTATCAACTTCATTCAACAGCTATATGACAGTGGCACGTGTCAGGTGATCCACAACGAAAAGGAGTTCTGTCTAGCTTTGACATCTTCATCCGTTCCGACTGCCTGTAGTGTAAAGGATGCTTCCTAGATTAGTGAAGGAAGTAACCTCTGTTAATTTTCGATTTGATTTTCGATTTACAGCTTGATTCCACACTGTATTTTTGGTACAAGTATGGAATTTTCAGCATGGATATCGGAAGCCCAAATTTTACAGGCCGACCATAGATATCAGGTGTGCGTCGTCGTGGGCTCGAACCCCGGACCATGTGCATGGTCGGCGAGAGTCCTAACCACTGTGCCACCGACGCACAGTGGTGATGGTGATTGGTGCTGGTTGCTGTTAGTGATGGTGCGTGGGCATCTTCATCACCTCCGTTTTCACTATATTCACCTGCAGTCCTATCTTCGCTGGCTACCTCTTCAACCAGTTTGTTGGTTTTCGCCTACAAGTCATATATCATCCACGCGCGAAATCCAGATATGCTAGAGTCTTCTTATAAGTGGTCCAGCGTATCATTGTCTCCTCGCTCCCCATGCACAGTCGGACGCATAACCCAGTCCACCACAATTAAGAATACCATCGGTGATAATAGGCGAACAGCCCCTGTATTTCCTTCGAACTCCTCTCCGAGCTTTTCGTTGTGGATCACCTGACACGTGCCACTGTCATATAGCTGTTGAATGAAGTTGATAAAAACCTGAATACTGCACACCGTAGTGTTGAAGTAGTTTCCAAATTACATCTCAGTCAACGCTTTCTGTCGAAGGCCTTTTCGAAGTCGATGAAGTTGAGGTAGAAGTTTGGCTGCCATTCTAGTTTGGTGTCCTAGCAGTCAGTTCATGTTGTATAAATAAATTATAAAAGAAATTATCAGAAAGATAGTATATAATGGTACACTGAAAGCATCACTTACTGTCGATAAGATTGAAACTTCCTTCAAACCTCATATATGCTGACATTTGAACATCTAGCTGGGAATTAATCTCATCAATTGAACCAGATTCTGTATACCAAACAAGTGATATAATACGATGCTTGGAATCAATAATTTGTGGGAATTTTGAGGTACAGGTAATATTTTGTTCCTTGAAAATAAAAATTATCGGAAGCATATAACAGTTAAATGTATTTCACTGAGTTATCTATTAAAAAAGAATTACAACAGCTTTTAAGTGACTATTAACTTTGTGATGTTGACGACTACTCCACCTGATACAGGTATGAAGTAAGACCAACCTTGAAATTCGTCAAAAATTCAGCGAATTAAACAGCATGATAACCTTGTGATAAGTAGGACAGTTTTTAAAGGACTATTTGTTCATTCTTATCCTTACCAAATGGAACTTGGGGCTTCAATCTTGAGCTATGAAGTTCCAGTGGCGTTGGTTTTTATCTTTTACGGGGTAGTGTTGCTAACTTCATACACAACCTTCCGTTTTTACCGGGCTTATAACCGGTTAGGCGAGGTCTAGGAGTGCATCGGCCGGGAGTCGAAGCAGGGGCAAGTGCGCTGTCGGTGAGTATTCTACCTTAGAACTACCAACGCACTAGTTGGAGCCATTTAGCAGGAAAGACGATTATAATACATCTTTTAGATTGATTCAGTTCATGAAATTCAATTACCTAGAATAGATTTATCGTGTACCAAATTAAAAGGCCCACTTATCGCATGAGGGCTGAAGTAGGTAAAACGTGGCTCAAACCCATGGCCTATCGGCAGAAAACCGAGTTCTTAAGCCACTGAGTCGCTTCTTCACAACCTTTAAATTGGTATTAACAGACCACTGAGATCAAGTTAGTAGGTTCAGTGGATCAAATAATTCCTACCACGTGAACAGTTACGTTCTAGATGACAATAAGTAAAAACTGTCTGTGAACTCTTTCAAAGACAAACCAACAGTTCCAAATTTTTTGTTATCATCTTCAACAAGCTCATACTGTGAAAGGATAAGGGTTTTAAAATCGGGATCCATTAAAGTATAGACGAAAACCCAAATGTGTGTTGTAAGGTAGAAACAGGACGATTAAATAAGACAGTTTCAGCCAAGAAAACAAAATAGATCATCGTATATTAGCTACAAATATTCTTCAACATTCAGAAAAGACAACTGACTATCAACAATCCAAATTTTTCATAACATATAAGTACAAGACTACCTTCTACATTTCAACAGAATGACTTTATTCACGCTAAAAAGTCATTTAATTTCATTTTTAAAAGTTTAATTGTGTCAAAAGCAATGAATCAAAATGGTCACTGTTACAGTTTGATAAATTCACAGCAGCAGCATCTTGTTTAAAACAAGCAACAAAAGTTAATAAAGCAGGATTTAATGAATATCCATCGGATTTTCGTAGAACTCATCGCCTGGATACTCTACACACAGGGATATAAATATTAAGATACATGTATACTCAAAGCGACATGAACAGAATTCTATTATTGCCTAATATTTTTCTCATTCAGAGATTAACCAAAGTACACACACACAATTAAATCAATTGACAGAGACTGTCTAGTTAAGTTTCAAAAAAAAGAGGAAAGTGTCTGTAATTTCACTTGTAAAAGTGGAATGACAGACTGAATTTCAACATAGAATTTTGCATAGAAGTGCAGAAGTACAAGTTGCCTTACTGCGTTTAGTGCAAATATAGGTGGGTAAAAGAGGGGAAAAAAGTGATTCAAAAGAGCTATCATCCGCAGTAATGTGAGGGATAAACGGTAGTTAATACAGAAAACACGACGGTTTAGTGGATCACCGAAAGTGATTGAATCTTCACCATTGAGGAAAACTTTCATAGAAATCACCAAAAGCTTCCAGTCATTAATTCTTTAAATCCTGAGGATCCTGACCATGTAGCCTACATCTCTCTACATGGCTCAAACCAACTGCTGAAAACTGCATGGACTGGCTCCAGGTTTTGATTTTATCACCTCTAGCTGTTTTCCAACTTGATCCTATGTTATCTAACAACAGTCGAAGAAGACGATCGTTCGGATTGCGCAACAGGTGTCCTACGCATCTCAAACAATTCACCTTCACAACCTCCTTGATCGACATGCCCTCTTTACCTAAAATTCTACCCCCAAACCTGAATATTACTCAAACTACTGTACCACTTAACAGGGGAGATAGAATGGAAACAACTGTGATCAAACACAACTAGCCTTTTCATCATATCTTCCACTTTTCTCACTGTCATAAAGAAGAACACAGTAAACTGCTGCGCAGTACACGCGTATTTTGATCAAAAGTCGGATATTACTGATGTAAGTATAAAACTTGGGAACTCCATTATGGATATGATTTTTATTTTGATTAATCACACAGTGTTGTACAGTAATATTAACTGATAACGATGTTTTGAGCACAAATTATTGCTGCTCAAAATCATATCAGGTCACTCACACAACTTTTATCCTTCCTTCATTTATATGCATGTGTGGAATTGACTAGATATTTAAATAAAAATCAATATGGAATAGTGTACATTCAGAAATAATCTTAATGTTATCAACTAGATGGGAAATAGGATGTTTTTTTATAGTCAAAATAAGTCACTTGTTAGAATGTTGTGATGTGAATTGAATACATTTTAACATTATTTATTATTCTCCGATTTGACTGGTAACAATATAATCCGGATCTCTGGTATTTGCATTGAGTCATTCCTGTGACATGTGTTGGGTGTAGACTCGATGAACCAGGATTCAGTAATCAATCCCTCTCTCCACCTACCTATATAACTTCTTAGAATTTCAATCCTGTCCCGCCATATTGTGTGGTTGTGTGTTAATGTATGCAGAGCGATTGCTGAGCTTTTTTCCAAATTACTTATCTTCTCTGGGTCAACCATTCTTACAATATATTACGTATACGCTAAGGATGACGTAAATTGGCAAATGCCACATGAACCATTTGTATTTGTACTGCGATGTCAAAGCAGTATACACTGACAGCCTAAGAATTCATTTGTTTAAAAGAATATTTATTGTTAAAACTCTAAATCTTGCACTTCTAATACCATGACAGCATAATTTACCGCGTCGAATAATACGGATAATACGGAATACCAATCCAATGTTTAAATAAGACAAAAAAGACGGGATGTTTTGTCGTCATCACTTGACATTGAGTTAGCAATAAGATAGTGTTAGGATTAAAGCATTCAAGACGTGTTTTCGTACAGAGCACAAGAAATATCACAGCAGATATTCCAACTGCATAAAAAGTCAATAAAACACCTTTAAAACAGACAAACGTTGCATCGAATCTGATCACAGTATTTCTCCAAGCAAGTAATACAAGATCCCATAAGATCAAAGATTTGAGGTAATATAAACCCGAACTGAGCATCTCCATTCTAATAATTCAAGTAGGTGTAATCGAAAGGGCCGGAAGTTTGTTTCCCCATAACTTATATACTTACTCATTAAGATAAGAATTGATTCATTTTACTTTACCAGATCAACGTGCAGTATGCGATAAAAGGAAATATAGAAAGAAAACAAATTAAGTAAGCAAACAATATCCTTTTCGATAATTTCCTCTTCTGGCTCTACAATTATATGTTTATACATATAGAATATTCTAGAGTAGCAGTCAATAATATTGATGTTTTTAAATAATATCGATTCGTTAAGTAAAATCAATGGAATTACAGTTCATTAAAGATGCATAAATTATAATAAGCATAAAAATGTAATAGCAAAGAGAATATGAAGTAAAATTAAGGAAATGTTCATAACAAAGTGAGGATCACTAAGACCTTGATGGCCAGTGGGGTAAGGAAAGTATCTGAACCAACTTGTTTTCGATACATAATTTAGATTTCTTAATGTGGATTCCGACAGCCTCAGCAATATTTAGTAAACGAACACTTAAGGCGAAGTTAAGATTAGTTAGTATGCGCGGTAAATGACATCAATTTTGTGTTCTGTATCCACGAGATGAGATAGAATAGAGCTCTATGAATGGATTTTGTTTATCCTTCACTTAACCACGCGAGGTGATGTTCAAAAATCTGACAAGAAACACGCCTAATTATACAGCCTATGTAATTGGCTTGACAGGAGCAGTTTAATTGGTAGATACACATAGAACACAAGCAAGAGAAGAAAACCTTAGGAAGACATGTATGTGTAAAACAGTTCACGAACTATAGTGAATATATTTCATCTATGTCTGTTAAGGGTACAGTTGACTTATGAGGTAACTGTCAACATAATAAAATATCTTTCTCATTCAATCGACAAAGAGGTCTGAACCTAATTTCTTCACTTGTTAGTACGCATAAATGAAGTTTACATGCACCCATGAGGAAACTGATTTTACCTAGGAGATTTAAGTTAAAGTAAATATATTCTCAGGTTTGAAAATCAAACACTAGGCTACTTCAAGAATGCATATTAAAAATAATGCTCTCCAGAAGGCAGAATAGTTTCCATTATTTATTTCAATAAATAAAATTACAGTGTATACAAATGAAGTCAACAATTTGATTTTAGTAATCAATATTTTCAGAAATCCTAAAATCAAATTTTGTGCTAAAGTATCCTCCACATCGCCACTTTTTATATCTTTGTTAAAACTTTCACTTGCGCTAAAATCACTGGGTTAATACAACCATTACTAGTTCTTTTATCTTCTCCTCTTTGTAATTTATGATGACATGATTTCAATTGTTTTATCATTTCAGTTATTAATAACATACACTGGTAGAAGTTAGAATTCATGAACTGGTCACTGAATAGGGTACCAGTGGCTGAATGGTATACGAGCTAGTTTTCCTTGTAACCAGAAGGTCCTGGGTTTGAACCTTGGCAGCGGGTGAGTACTACCGATGATTCCCAAACTGGGATGAAACAGCTGTCCAGTACTCCAATGCTGGTTTTCAATGGTTCTCTAACTGATATCAATCAGTGTTCAAACTTGCAACAATAATGTTATTATTATTATTATCATTTTATACTTTTTTGTACATTTTAGACTTTATTCCTACCGCTAATGAGGAAAAATTGTCATTTTCAATTTCGGTTACCTATACCTTTTAATGTTATTTTCTGTTCTAACTTGAGTAAATT